ATTTTTGCTTTTGTTGAGACACAGTTTCTCTGTGTAGCCCTGGTTGTCCTGGAACTAGCTCTGTAGACCAGACTGGCCTCGAACTCAGAGATTGCCCTTCCCCATCTTCCCAAGTGTTGGGATTCAAGGCGTGCACCACCAGCACCCAGCTGTAATTGTTTCACCTAGAAGCAATATGTGTATCCATTGAATTCTATCCCACCAGCCAGTCTTCAGAATGGCTTTGCCACTTTACTCACAATCCCCGAGTCCTTCCATCATTCATCTTTCTAAGTTTTTAGTCTACTGAGCATAGAGAATGTGGTCATTTTAACTTGGGTTCTTCTGGTTACTAATGTGTGAGCACATATATTTATGTTTTTAGCTCATTAGACTTAATCTTCTAAAAACTGCCTGCTTATAATCTTGGACAGTTGTCCTATTAGAACCTTTATTTAGTTATTTTTATGACCTTGGCATTCTTTGTCTCTTGCAAAGACTAGTTATTTGTGAACTTTAGAGGTTATGAAATATAAAGTCTTCCCCACAGAGGCCGCATGGCTGGAAGCCTGCAGGTCAGCTATCCTGGAGAATACAGCACAGAGGAAACAAGGGCGGTCTTTCCTCAACACACTGGAGAGAGAACTGGCTCCTGAAAATGGTACTCTATTCCACACACACTCCACAGCACACATGTGCCCGTGGACTCACTCACACGCCACACATAACAATAACAATTTAAAATTAGTATGAAACAAATTGTATGAGCTATACAGGATCTTAACTAGGAATAGGTCATTACATAAATATTTAAAAATTTAGTTCATTATAAGATATTAAAATAGAAAATGTAAAAGGAAGCAGTTCATTTTTTTAAAAAAAGTATTTCTTTGTGTGTTGTGACTCTGCAGAGGTCACGGAGGGCATCTGGTTCCCTTTAGCTGCAGCTGCTGTGCTGGCGAGCTGCCCAATGCGGGGAGTGCTGGGACCCAAACTCCGGGGCTTTGAAGAGGCAGAGTTCTAACCTGAGTCATCTCTCCAGACCCCCAAAGAACAATTCTAGCAAATGGTACAGAACACTTAAAAATCACTGTCTTCGTGTTAGTCCTTCAGTCCAATGGGCCTTTTCCACTATACACTGCACATACGCTGCCCTTTGGGCCCCAATGAAACACAGAAATAAGCTGACCACTCTAAGTGAAGTTTCACTTAAAATATATGGCTTCCTCATTAAAAACAAAACAAAAACTCAACCAAAACTCCCAGGAAACTATTTCAAACAGAGAAGTACAGACTTGGGAGTTTCCACTAAATTACAAAAGAAGTTTACAAATATTGTTGGGTTAGAAAAGCATCCAGGACCACTTTATCCTACTGTGAATTTGGGATTTTAATTTTATTTTAAATTATGTGTTCACAAATATAGGTGCTCACGGAGGGCAAAGGGATTACAGGTGGCTAAGAACCGAACTCCAATTCCTGCAAAAGCAGTGGCCGCTCTTACACACTGAGTCATGGCTTCAGGCCCATTCAAGGATTTAAAAACTTACTTATTTTTTTTATCAGCCCTGTATGTGTGTGTGCATATCTTAGCACATATGTGTTGGTCAGAGGACAAATTGTGAGTCAGGTCTAGCCTTTCACGAAATGGGTTCCAGGAACTGAAATCAGATCATCAGATTTGGTGGCACATGCCCTTCCCCTACACTGAACCATCTCGATGACTGAAGTCAGGAATTTCTTATACAATTCTGATAAATTTCATAAGTGTTGAGTCTTTTCGGGTTTTTGTATGTGAGTATGGCATATTGAGTGACCTGTATGTAGGTGCACCTGCCCCTCTGAGTCCACATGTACACAGGCAAGGCTTCGTGAGCCCTTTCCAACTTATTAAGACAGGGTAGGATTTTTCAATAAACCTGAAGTTCACTGTATCTCCGTGAGCCTAGGGATCCGCCAGTCTCTACCACCCCAGCTTTAGGATTACAAACATGCTACTGGCACCGGCTTTACATGTGGGTGCTAGGTATCTGAACTCTGGCTTTCCTGCTTCTGCAGCGGGTCCTTTACCCAGAGAGCCCAGTGAGCCATCTCCTCAGGTCTTCAGACTTCCTCTGAAAAAAAGGCAAGCTATACCTCTGTCTTCACACTGCCAAGTCTGCATCACAGAAAAAGAAACTACAGCTTTCAATCGGAATTTTCTTTTCTTTTTATAGACCAAACTGTGGTAAGATTTTAAAAGTCACTGACTCATTTTTTTCCCTAGAATAAAACACTTAAAGCCTCTTAAGTGTAAAATATAAGATGACAAGGGTTCCTTATTAATGTCATGTTCCTATGATGAATGTTTTTAAACAGTCAAATCACAAGATTTTGGAGGGAAAAAAATCTCAAACAAGAATATCATTTAAATGATGTTTTGTTACAATGATGCATTCTGAAATCCAGGCTGACCTCACACTTGAGGCAATCGTCTTGCCTCTGCCTCTACAGAGCTGGATCACAAATGTGGGACACCACACCCAATTCTCATTTAAATTCTAGAACCACACAAGTGTACTAAGAGAGAAAGTTGAATGGAAAAATCAATTAGGTAGAAACAAAGCAAAATGATCTTTTGTGGTTTTGAAGCTGTAGGACATAAAACCTTAGGTGGTAGTACTTACGCACATCACCCCACTTTCTTACCAATGGGGACAATCAGTATCTTTTATCTACACTCAGTATTTTGAAGGTAACTGGTGGTTTGCTCTATCCTGCCCATTAAAACTATATAATTGTTTTGCCTTTTAAAAATGATAAGGCCTGTGCAGGAGGATCTCGAGTTCAAGGTCAGCCTGGTCTACAGAGTGAGTTCCAGCACAGCCAACGCTACACAGAAAACTCTGTCTCAAAAAACCAATAATAATAATCATAATGCCCATCAGACCAAAACTAATTGAGTTCTGTCCTGGAAATGCATATAGGTAGGGCCAACAAATAAAATGCATCAGAGAAAGGATGGAAAATTTTAAATACTTTTCAGGCTTGGCCAAACCTTTGGTGCTGATGGGATTCATTACTGTCATCTACAAAGTTTACACTCAAGAACTGCAAAATTGAGCACCCCCCCCCCCCAAAAGAAACTTCATAATGTTTTAAGTAAGTCTATAGGTTTTTTGTTTGTTCTTGGTTTCTCCATGTAGCCCTGGCTGTTCTGGAACTCGCTCTGTAGACAAGGCAAGCCCAAACTCGCAGAGATTCACCTGCCTCTGCCTCCCAAATGCATGTGTCGGCACCCACAAGACTACAGTTTTGTGGTGGATCACATTCACAGCTATCTGAGGCTGCACGATGCTCACAGGTGACACTGGCCAGTTCTGCATCCCTTTCTTTCAGCATCCTACAGAGGGAGGGGCTGATGATGCTCTCCATTTTCAGACTACTGCCTTCTGGGGCCAGCTTAATATCTCACTGGGTATAATGCTTGTTGTACAAGACTGCTGACCCAAGCTCAATCTGTGGAAGCCACATAAAGGTGGAAAAAGAGAGCTAACTTCCACATTATATGTGAGCCCACTCCTACACACACACACACACACACACACACACACGAGAATTGAGATTTTTAAGAAATCCAGACGTAATACAAATAGCATTGACCAATTACTTTTTAAATAATATAAATGAAAACTAAAGATAAAATTTTAAATGGATAACACATGATCTTGTTATGCAGTTTTGACACAAATATTCACAGATGGGCTGGGAAGATAGCTCAGAGCTTACCACACAAGTTGAAGACCAAAGGTTATATTCTTATGGATCCACGGGGCGACCTGCCTCTAAGTACAATGTTCTAGGGACAGAGAGAGAATTTGAGGGACACTGACTAGCTAGACTGTCCAAATCAAGAGTTCCAGGGTTCACAGCGATCTTACCAAAGTGTGTAAGGTAGAAAGCAATGGAGGAAGACATCTGACATCAACTTCTGGCCTTCTCACACTTGCACACCCACACACATTTGAACATGTGCACATATACATGCACATAAAATGTTCACGGATCCAAAGATACACTAATAATCTGCTTATTCTTAGTAAGGGAACCACTGCACACAGGAACACAAGGCATCATGAAGGACCTGACTCAAGGCCCCAAAAAGATATTCTTAGCCAAATCTCTCTCTATTGCCCCTACATTTTGGTGACAGTGAAAATTAAAAACTAGGCTTTTGTCATCATCAAAAGTTTCAAGGCTGGTGGTGGTGACACACGCCTTTAATCCCAGCACTCCGGAGGCAGAGGCAGGTGGATCTCTGTGAGTTCAAGGCCAGCCTGGTCAAAAAGAGCTAGTTCCAGGACAGGCTCTAAAGCTACAGAGAAACCCTGTCTCAAAAAACAAAAAACAAAAAGTTTCAATTTCTTTTTAAGATTTTACTTTTTAAAAAGTATAAAAATATATGTGTGTGCATGTGCACACACCCATGAATACAGGTGCCCATGGCGGTCAGAAGCCTAAGACCCCCCGGAGCTGGAGTTACAAGCTGTACATTGTTGGTCCTAGGAACCAAAATTAAGTACTCGGGTCCTCCGGAAGAGCAGTTAAGTGTTCTTAGCTGCTAAGCTATCTCTCCATATCCTATATTTCTTTTTTGAAAAACACTAAAATTCTCTAAATCTTACATTTATAAGATATTTCTTAAGAAAATTATCCTTTGGGAGCACTGATTGCTCACTGGGTGAAGATGTTTGCTACCAAGTCTGATAACCCAAGTTTGAACCCTGGGACCCACGTGATAGAAGGAGAAAACTAACTTTCGTACATTGTCCTGACTCTGCTTTGAATACACACACACACACACACACATTAAAATGTAAAAATATAGATAAATAAATTAAACTTTGGTATTACTTCACACTTAAAGGAATTCCAGTGACATCATGCAAAAAAGTTCCAAATGACAATTTTTGGCACATCTATCAAGCATGTGTGTACAACCTTAGAAATATAAATAAACAGAAAATGTAAGTGGGTCTTACCATATTTTCTCTTCTGAAACAACTACCACCGCTACTGTATAACACAGAAGACATTCTGCAGCAGTTACAGAACCAGAAGGCAAACAGTGGAAGGCACAGCACCACACAGAGGCTCCAGGAATTAAATGCCAGGATTCTCGGATGTACAAATCTCACTGTTTCAGAGGGAAATGTTATCTACTTATATAAATATCCAAGAATGCTCTGTGCTCTCGCAAAGATTAAGTTCATCCCTAGCCTTACTAAAATCAGCACCTCCCCTCTCCCAAAGCACCTTCTGAGCACTTCCTAATGAATTGTTTAACAAGTAACTGTAACTTCCTTCAGAGCAAATTAACCCTGCACTTGTGACGCTTTGGAGTGACTTTACAAACCCACCAGTTCTGGGCGTTCGCCTTCCCAGACACAGAGCCAGTTCGCTAGCATGCATGCATTCTGCCACGTCACCACCCAGTAAGACAACTGGACAGTATAGCTCATTTTCAAAGGAATTTCTCAATCTTTACTCAACTGGCAAAGGAGTTAAATACAACAGTCAGGACAAAGGAAGGGGAGAATTCTGGCTGACTGGCAAGGCAATACACTATGAAACTGAAACCACATCAGACAGAACTGCATACAAAATTCTAGCCGGTTCTTTCTTTTCTCTACCACACTCAAGTCTTTCTTTTCTCTACCACACTCAAGGGGTCAGGTACAAAGTAAATTCAAAGATGGGCAGAGTTAGGAAAATCCCACACACATCAAAACCTTAAACAATATACAAATGTGACTTGACATGAAAAACAACAGAACTGTTTTTACAGGTTACAAAATACCAAACACAGCGAAACATATTTTCCCTTTCTCTGTTCAGTCGTGCCTTTAAATTTAAAAATAGATATCAGAGTTCCAAAATTACAAACCCCTTCATCAAATGTGAGTGGTGAAACCTCCTAACACTACTGAGAAATGGTTTTCCTGATCAGTCATACCTCACTAGGTAGATAAATCCAGATTATGGAAACAGAGAGCACGTATGTAAGAGTATATACTGGCAGTCACATGAAGACCCAAATTCATATGGACAGGTAAGACAGGTACTGGCATGCTCAACAAGTGTATGTTAGCATTAGCGTAACGTATTACACCCTAAGATTCTGAAACCATGCCACTTCATGTCAAAACACAGCAGTTCATTTTGTCTCAAGTGTTCACAGGGCCCAATATCAAAGATCAAAGTTTCAACACGCAGAGGAACACTGTGAGCCAAATGTAACACAGGCAAGAGCAAACCTGGGTTCCCCCAAAGAAACCAAACAACTTTTCAGCACCAGGAAAGCCAACAAGGCTTGCTCCCTAAAGATAAAGTTACTTATGATCCTGGCATCTGCTTTCAGTTAAGCTTTGTACACATACGTTTCCACAAACAATTACAAACACACACACACCACTCCTCGGGACTTTTGTACAGATTTAAGAACACACCCATGCTAATAGAAGAGAATTTCACAAGCTGGAACTGCTTGACAAGCAAATTTTGCAAACAAGGACTAAGTTCAGCACAAGCAAAAGACAGCCAAATACCCGACCACACCCACGCTGATAAAATCTCTTACCCAAAAAGAAAACTAGACAGACAACACCCTCGTGAACACCCTTGCTAAAATTCTGACTCTTCCCTGAGCCCCACTACCCGGGGAGGGGTGAGGGGTAAATCCTGAACAACCACGATTACAGACTATGCTAAATATAAGACAAGACGGCCGAGCAGAACATAAACCATAACAGCAGAAAACACACCCGGACACCCAGGTACAGGCCACACAGACAGTTCAAAGGCAGAAGGCCAGACCACCAGGATGTGGACGCCTGGGACCCCTCAAGCAGTTCACAGATCTCAGAGGCCTCCTGGCTCATAGAAACACTGCAAACCCAGCATGGACCCTCTCAGGCCGCTTGTCCACGCCCGGGACAAGATTGCCAGGTCTTTGGCCACCCCAGGGGGCTGCTGCTGGCATTCTAACGAGCCGGACAGTCCCCCAAGACCCTCAAAAAGGCAGACAACCTCTTACAGCCGTCTTGGAGGCGGCCATGACAGCAAAAAAGAGCGGATTTTTTACGACAACTCCCACAATGCCCCTGGACTACAACTCCCAGAGTGCAGCGGGCGGCCCCACTGTTAACCCTGTAGTGGCTCCATGTTCTGGCGATCCCTGGTCCTTGCCTCGCCCAGAAACCAAACTGTTGCACCTACTTTCAACTCTCACAACTCGAAAATAACTTAGGAATTTTGACCAACAACTGCATTTACGCTATCTTGACTCTTCCTTTTACCATAAAAACAATCTCAGCTTCCCAGAACATTGTCCCTGGCAGAGTACTTTTTGTTAATCTCCAGAGATGTCAAACTGTCAAATAGTCACTATTACACGGGTACATTTATGTTCAATTAATTTTCCCTTTAACCTTTATAATTTTCTAGGCATTTTCTAAATTATTAGAGTTCCCAGAATCTTGTACTACACACTATCTTAATTTAAAATACATTTTCTAAACTTCTGGGACTCAAGAGAAGGACCATCTTGTAACTGCTACAACGACCTAAATCTCTCCATTTATTAAAACATTTTTTCTTCAAATACATTAATTTACAAACTTCGTGCAACTCAAAATTGGTCTTAATAAAAAAATAATTGTGGACAACATACATTTTCAATTTCAAGCTAAAATTTTAGGAAGAAAACCCCATGTGTTAAAAGCATTTCCCTTTCCCTACAGAAAAGCTATCAATGCCAACACCATATAATGCTAATTTTTCCCCCTGACTTTAGAATGACAAGAAAACAACAAATGGACATTCTCGGGAGATTTTAAAAACTATACTGAGAATTCATTCTTTCTGGAAACTGTGCAATTGTATATTCTATTTATGAATGACGTTTTTCAAATTCTGTTTCAATTTAATTATTAATAAGAGTTTTAAATGCATTTTCTTCAAATATTTTGGCCATATTTTCAGTAAAGAATGACAGGTAACATTTACAGGTTAATGTCTCATCAGAATAACTTAAGAAGTCCATGATGCGCATGCGCAGACTAACGTTCCCAGACAGGTAACTGACTGAGGGGCAAAGCAATTGTCAGGGATTTGATGCAGGCACTAAAATAACAACTAGCATTCTTCCAAAATATCCGGTGTTTTTCTATTCCTAAAGATGAAGCAAAATGTACACGATGTCTATTTTTTCTACTGAAGTATTTTGCAACTTGAAAGGGCACTCAAAATATATCATGAATTTCAGATCATAAAACTCAGAAATCCTACTAGACATAAAACCAGGCCCCCCCCACCATTGCCTTGCTATATAAATGCATTGTCAGTAAAATTCTTCAAATTCTATTTTAAACGATTCTCTACTTAGTTACAGTTAGCTTATTAATATATTTTACATCTAGCAAACTACAATGAGAAAACAATCCTAACTCATTCTTTACTTTCTTACCTATTTCATTTTGTACTTTCATAAACAATCACAACAAGTGCTGCACTACTTACCAGAATATAAAAATTGGAAATATGTGAGTTTTTGAAATTTTAGGTTGTTATACTATTTCTATTTTAGATTTTATATCTCTCTAATTTTCACTTAGAACTTTAGTTAGTATTTAGCTGGACAAGTTTCATTTTCCCCTATTTTTAAATAGCCACCAAAACATAGACAGTTGATGCATATTTTATATATCATTCTCTTGCTGTTAAGTATTTGATTCATAAAAAGGGCTCAGAAACAAGGGAGAAATGAAATTGATTCCATATAGTTACCCATGCTTCTAGCTTTCCTCTCAGGGTTATGAAACTATATTTTCTATTAAATCAAATCATATTTTCTTTACTTTAATTGTAACAATAAAATTAGAGTTATCGTATTAAAGAACTTTATGTAATAATTATGATAGAAAAACTTTCTAATTGTTTTCTGTTTACAATAGTCTTTCTTTGAGAAACAATTTAGCTCAACATATCTTGTCTAAGCAATTAAAATAAGCTTACACTATGCATCTGATATTATTAAAAATATTTTTATAGGAAGAGAACAATTTTATTGTGGAAATGAAGTTTTTAACTTGAAAGCAAAAAATTTACTATTTCCTACCAATTTTCTTAAATTCTATTTTACTACATTAATTTTTAACATGTATGTTTTTGAAACCTAAACTCTCTACTAAATTTTTTCAAAGTGCTTATATTTAATTGTGTTAATACATTTGAAATTACCATATATCTTGTGTGTTTTTGAGAATATCTAGATCAATTGAAGACAGACATGGATACCTATTTCTCTCAGATGTGTGCTGGTGATGCACCTAAAATATGCAGCCTTTCATGGTTATAGGAAATTCCATGTGTAATTTCTATAACCACTTCTTTGTTATTTTAATTTAAAATAATGCTTAACAGAATCTTAAACTGTCTGTTTAAATATTGTAACTGCAATTTTAGGCTACTTGCTTTTAAATATCTGCTTTTTGTGCATGGAAGCACAAAATAAATTGTGCAATAAAATAAATCATGCAAATAAATCGTGCTAATAAAAGTATTAGTAAAAGTAGAAGGAGTTGCTAATATTACAATATGCTCAAAAGTTAGACTATCTGTTCTTATCCTACTGCAACATAATCATCAAGTTCTGAAAAGAGGCCACACATGAGGCGCAGGTTTTTTGACAGATTAAGCAAATTGTTTATATTTATATACTGACTCTTCAAAAACAATTATTTCCTAGCATGTATTTAAACATCTCCCCGGTTGCTGCTCAAACCTTAACTAATTTGAATTTCTTGGCCTTATTTTCAAGCAAGGACCTGCCTTTCAAATTCACCCAGATAGTATTTTTATTATTGGAGTGGTAGATACTTATATATAGGATAATTTATCTAAAAATCAAACCCTTTGCTTTTGACTTTGCATTATAAATATAACTTTCATTTTAATTATGTCATGTTTTAAATACTTTTCAAAGCTTCCTCTTGAGAATCCTCTACTGGCAGCCTATGACAAACAGAAAGCAGAATGCATATTTTTTCTTTCCCATTAATTAACAAACTGATCTTTTTAAATAAAAATTTCGAATTAAGTACTTTAATTTAGCTTAATATTTCTCCTTTCTGTCATTTCTGCTTTCTCTATCAGTTAGGATGAGCAAAGTGGAAGTTCTTGTTACTTCTTATGCTGTGATTAAAATGCTCTCTTGTTGACTAACAAATAACAGAAAATATCTCCTTACCCAAAGAAGGAAAGTTTTAACTTAAAACAAAGTCTCAAAAAAGAAAAAAAGGGAAACTAAAGAAATAAGAAAAAATAAAGAAAGGAAACCGTCACAGTTTTTTTATTTTTGTTTTTTTAGGATGTAAAACTATTGATATTTTTCTATAGAAATTTAAAAAAGAAAACCTAAGTATGATTATGGTCGTCCCTGTCCTGTGAAAAATCATAATGGTTTGAAGGATATTTGAATTTCTGAGTTTAATGTTAGACAGTAAAGGCTGTAAATAATATAGTTAATGCTGGAAACTTCTTTAAAAATTCCGTTTTAGATTTTGCGACAAATGGTCACAATTACACAGCCCCTCATTCCCACCGCTGGTCTGTGTTTTATTTTTGCCACTAACATGTCTGGGGAGTGAAGGGTCTTATTTATAACCCCACAGTTTAAAATCTTCTTACTATATTTTATTATTAACTAACCTTATCTGTCTTTAAATTTTTTCTAATACATAAGAATGTCTATTTAAAACATAATATTTATATTTTAAACTTCAAATAAAAATGAAATTAAAAACCAAAGCTTAAAATGTCTAACTTTTAAAATGTCTTTGTAGATCCATATCAGCTTCTTCCCTTGATTTGACTTAGTCTAGGTTTCTTAAAAACAAGTATGCTGTTTCTCCCAACCTCTTCCACCCCATAATTTTCTCCCTGAATCCGATTTATAGTCACTAACTCACTTGCCTTCCACGCAAGAAAAAAATCTTTCTGTTCAGAAAACTTTCAGACTCCTTCCTTTCTCCTTTATTTCTGGGATGTACCCACTTTATCAAATTCTAGAGAAGGGAAACGATTATTAGTCTGGTTTTCCCCCCTCCAGATGATGGTTCCAAGGCTTGTTTTCTCATTCTTCCCTCCGTACAACTAGACCACGCACCAGTCAGCTCCATTAAAAAAAAATAGAGCAACAAATTTTGCCTAACAACTCTCTCCCCCAAAACTTGATGGCATATACTCATTCTGTTCAGGGATTTCTATATAAAATACAACCTGGCTAAGATTCTTTTTCCCTACTCTGAAAATAACCAATTTCCAGTCTCTGGCAATTTCTTGTTCACCTTGTCTGCCACCACATTCCATGTGAGGGGTCTCACACAGATGAGCAGATGAAAGACCACAAGAAAGAATGTCCACCACAGCCTTGACCCTGCCCAGCAGAGAAGACAGGTGGGTAAGAGCACAGGAAAGAATGCCCACCACAGCTTGACCCTGCCCAGCAGAGATGCTATGTTGCTCAGCACTGACCTGGATGTTTCAAGAACAATCTAGAACATGTAAATTCTGTACAGATAGGACATGGGAAAAAAATGCTGTTTCTATATGTCACTCTTTGCAACCTTGGATGATCTCAGCTAACTTTTCCCAAAGAATATGACCTTTATGAAATAATTTTGCATAGACACAGCAGAAGTGTTTTTCAAAGGTTGACAAGTTGGCCACTCACAGGCCCAACTAGGCCTCCGG